GAGGTGGACGAAGGCAAGACACTTGAGTTACCAGATCATAAAAAGATTATTTTTTAAAAAATTATTTAAGTGTTGAATTTGAAAATATTAGTGAGCAGGTAACTGTTGTCTTCTGACATTAACAAATTAAATACTTGCATTCAGATTATGGTACAGAAAGCCCACACATATTTTTTTCAAGAATTTTTTTTGTTATACGGTTTAAAATTTGAGTTGATGAGTTTGTTATGATTCCAGGGTGGTTGCAGCTGTTAATTCTTTTTCCGTGCAATCCCTAATGCATTTTAGCACATCTGGTAGATGTTGCTGGTGATTTTATTCATTCTTGCTTTTTAATTACTACTAATCTAAATTACTGTAAGAATAAAATTAAAACAAAGGTCACCTCTTTTAATGGTTCAATGTAATGTATATGTATTTAGAATGCTTACACAAAGGAACATTACTCCAACAAGTACCTTTTCTGGATTAATGAATATTATGCGTTTGTGGATTTGAAGGAGCTTCAGGATCAAGGCATTGACTGGGAGTGTGCTCTACTGCAAGATTAATCTAACAGCCCAGTTGTGGTTCCTGAGGTTGAGTGCCCACTGGATGAGGAAGCCCTGGAAGGACATCAGAGAACAATGAATCCTTTGGAACATTCCAAGTCACACAGTCGTGACCTGCACATACGATTCTTGCAACAGGTGTCAAACCAACAGTGACACCTGTTGCAAAGACCAAGGAACTGATCGTGGACTTCAGGAAGACCAGGAAACACTTGACCCCTGTTTCAATCCAGGGGGTCAGTGTTGACATTGTGGAGGACTATAAATACCTTGGAGTACACATTGACAATAAACTGGACTGGGCTAAAAACACCACAGCACTTTACAGGAAGGGCCAGAGTCGTCTCTATTTTTTGAGGCGACTGAGGTCCTTCAACATCTGCCAAAAAATGCTGAGGATTTTCTATGATTCTGTGGTGGCCAGTGCGATCCTCTATGCTGTTGCATGCTGGGGGAGCAGGCTGAGGGTCGCAGATGCCAACAGACTTAATAAACTGATCCGTAAGGCCAGCAATGTTGTGGGGATGGAGCTGGACTCCCTCAAGGTGGTGTCGGAGAGGCGGATGCTGTCCAAGATAAAGACAATGTTGGATAACACCTCCCACCCACTCCATGACATGTTGGTCAGTCACAGGAGCTCGTTCAGTGAGAGACTGAGATTACCGAAAAGCACCACTGAACGACACAGGAAATCATTCCTGCCTGTGGCCATCTCCCTGTACAACGCATCCACTTAACACACTGTTTGCTGCTACAACTACACATGTTTCTTTTCCAAATATTTATTTATAAGTGACTTATGTATGTATGTATGTATATATATGTATATATTGTACTATTCTTAGTTAGCGTATTGTCTGTCTTGTCTTAATGTTGGTTTAAAATGGAGCACTGTAACAAAAAATAATTTCCCCCAGGGATCAATAAAGTATTCTGATTCTGATTCTGATACTTGAAAGCCAACACTGTTCAAAGTTCTCAAATACTCTCCTTCTTTGCTAAAACATTCAGATTACAACTATACAAGCAAACAAAGCACTTGCTTGGTATCTCAAAATCATTTAGTTAAAACTAAATCCGTTGAATATGTTTTTACTGCAATTTAATTGTTATAGTTAGTTAAAACTGCAACAATTATTCATGAAAGTGGTCACATGGTTAGGATGAACTTCTTCAGTAAGAAAACTATGCCGGTAATTAGTCATAGGTGAACTTCAACCTACAGCTGCATCTGTAACTACAATTTCACAACATATTTAATGGAAGGGACTGCAAATTACTTAAAACACAGCCAAAAATCTGAACTATTATTTTTAATTGTGATGTCCAATGCCAATTGCGTAACGGTCCTCATTGAATTTATACATTAGGACATCTTTCCCTAAAACAGTAAGAGTGATGTATGCACAGGGCATTGTTGCTCTGTTTCCATATCTGGAAGACCCATATTCACAACATGGATATGTAAGTAAAGGGGTCCTTGCAACACATAATTGCCCACAGAAATGTTGATAGCATCGTCAGTCTGCTGGTATTTAATTATATAGGAACATAACTATGATCCAGAGAGGGGTCTAGGATACCTTGCGAAGGGTTAACTGATGGCACGGCCATAGCTGGACTGGCCATCGGCCATTTGCTCAGTGGCCCTGATGATTTTCTTTCTTTTTTTTTTTTGTAATGGTATAAACAATGAAAGGTGTTGGATTGGCCAGATGCTGGCCAGTGTGTAAAAATAACTCAGTTGTTTGGTGGTGGCATCGCGGAGCTTCCACAGATTCAGTAAAATGAACAAGTGGTGGAGGCCAGCAGGTGGAGGAGGGAGATCGGAGGCAGGACGAGGAGAGACCTGAGGCGGCCGCCGGTCCGAGTGTCAGGTGAACTGAACTTCAGGTAAGAAGTTATGACCTGCAGTCTGGCTGGGTCAGATATAAACCAAGTTTAGGTGTAGTTTTCTCTCTTGTTTGTTTATCGCCCACTTTGCACCAGAAAGAGAAAACCGCCGGATGTCGCGCTAAACAACAGCAGCACTTTGAAGCTTTATCAGCTGTTGTTAGAATTTATTTAATATTAATTTCTAGTATCAACTGATGTTTGCTGGAGCCTCAGCTGTAAACCTACTGGTCACGATATCGGTTTGGATATGTGGTGAGAGGGAAACATGAAGATGAAACCAGGAGATGTCCTTACTAAATCATCAGAGCTGAACAGGTGATGGAGAAACAGGTTTACCCTTTAGGTGACATGAATGAGTTGAAGGGAAGTTATCAACTGTTACTGAGAGACAAATAACACCAATATCATTTTCTAAGTAGCTGACAGCTGGTAACTGTGAAGGGGCGGCTCTAGCAAAGTTTTGCCAGGTGGGCAGGTAGGGCATTAACATGGAAAGGGGGGCACAAAGAAATACTTTATTTTCATTTAAAATGTCTGGCTGTTATTAAATAATTATCTGAAGCTTACAACCAAAGTTTTTATCTGATGTAAAATGAATAGAAATCATACATATACCAACAAGACAGCGTACATCACTGTCACAACAGCTTTTGTTTTCATTCAAAGGCTATATGGCTTTAATACCTGGTGGGCCGGTTTAGTCAAAATGCCCGGGTCGATTTTTTTGTCCCAGTCCAGCCCTGGGCACGACATGCAGTGAATTAATCTGAGAAGGTGCATCAAAAAATAAATGGCCGCGCCAGCGGTGCACATCGCAAATCAGACACATTAGTTGTGCCTCTTCTTAATGACGGTATCTTAACTAACAACCCCAACTACCAGATTCAACTTGTAATTGGCTAAAAATAACTTAGCCTACTGGTAAGAGGGATGTTGTTAGCTTTCCACATTCCGACACTTCAAAAGCTTCAGGAGCTGTCTGCTCAACACAGCATCAGCACCACGGAGATACACGGATACATCTGTAGACTCGAGACACAATGCATTTTTGGGACTTTCAGGTGTTTGGACCAATGTTTTATCTTCTGATCAAACCAGAAATCTTTAATGAGCAGCTGGATTTGTCTCGCATTAACTGGCTGAGTTAATGCCAGTTAATGCAACATCGAAGCAGCTGGAATCCACAGCTGTGCGTGTTCATGGAGCTGCATTTTCACCTGCTGGACATCACTACCTGACAAGTTTAACTGTCTTCAGAACATTGCAGAGACCTTATTGACAGTATTTGGCTCTACATATCTGTGTGAGCAGATTTTCTCTCACATGAGTCCTCAGGTAGCCGTCTGAATGCTGGACACTGGGAGACCTGTGTGTCTCAGTGGGAGACCAGAGATCACATTAACATGTGTATCTCTGAATTAACAAACATGCCATATTGGCCCAGTTTATTTTTCTTATCATTGTTGTGAGGAGACCATAAATAGACATTTGCATTTTATGTTGTACAGTTCATTTGCTGTTATGGATAAAAGTGTCTTTTTTTTGTTTCAAATAAAGCTGATAACTATTCGCTGATAGCTGCCAACATCTGCGAACAAATATAATTCTATAAAGTGGTTCTATATAGTGTGTAACTGTTAATATAGAGCATTATTAAATTTATTGCTAATGCAATCATATGGCACACTGACCTCTGAGGAAATTTTAGAAAGGTAGCCGACCCCAGATTTAGACTGATGTAATTTGTAGGCAGGAGTCAAAAAATTGTTTTTTCTTAAGTTGTTGGGCTAGGGCATGGTCGATCCAGACCCCTCACCCCAGATGCAGCGTTATCAGAGGAGGATGTGAAAGCAGCTATTGCTGTTTTGAGAGACTCAAAATAAGACACTATCTGTGGGAACATGAAAGCTACCTTAATTTATCGTCATTCAGTGGTCAGTGATGAAAAGAATGCAGCAAATGTCTTAGTCTTCCCACAGTTTGTGGACACACCAGGACTAGTAAGTCATCCTAATTTGTTGAATGACTGAAATATATCATGCAGCCTGCAGTGTCACTCATCACTCCCCTCTATGTATTGTATTTTTGCATTACAGATAGAACAAGATTTCAGACTCCTGTTTGGTGAGGTCACTGCCAACAAATGCTTGGAGAGGTGGCCCATCGATTTCAAAGCAAAGGTTGTAAAGGAAAGCCATGGACTTCTACCCACACTGAAAAAAATGTTTTTTTGGCCCTGTAATTATTATTTCAATTAGCTATATAAATTTTACAAAAAAATACAAATTCAGTGCTATTACTTTAAAATAGCAGTTTTTCTTGTAGTGCATTACTTGAGGATTGTTTGTAATTATGTGTCCTCAGTTTTGTATGTAAATTGAATCATTCGATCCAAGTAATATTCACTAAACCAATTGGCTTAATTAGTTGACATTTCCAAGTAAAATGTAATGGAGTGACATCAGTGAATATGGCCACCTTCTCTGCATTCAGAGCATGACGTCAAAGCCCCTCCCCACATTTGAGCGGTCTTTCTTCAGACATACCATGGTCCACATTTCGACGGTTGGCAGACTTGACGGAAACGGGAAGAAGTGGAACCATGAATGTAATAAGCGGAACAAACTTTGTACGTTCCTGTTGGCTCACCTACTTAAGTCAGTTTCTCCGCACTGAAAGCAGCTGCACTAGCAAATAGTGTATTTTCCTGCTAGACTTGCTGACTAACTTTCCTGGCAGGAGGTATGTCCATAATTTCCCACAGCACTTTACAGCTTAGATGGCCACCCGCTGAACTAAATAAAACGACCACGGTTGCTGCACCGCTGCCATGAGGTGTATTTTGAAAAAAAAATTTCACTCGATTTCACTCAAGTCTTCATATTGACCTGTTTTAAATTTGACACCGAGCTGACATATGTAAAAAAAATAAAAATAAATTAATATCATTGTGCATCCTTGAGTTAGTAGAAATTAGTTGAAAAGCATATAAATAACCTTTTTTTTTTTTTTTTTTACAGAACATAGGACCTTCTGACTGCTAATTTGAACTCCACAAGGTAAGATCAAATTAGTAACGATTAGGTTTAACTTGTCACATAATTTCTTTGCGTAGCAATTTGGTTTAATTTTGAGATGGTCAATTTGTCTGTTTAAGGTGCCACAACATGAGATGGATGTGTAAGATATGTAGCTTTGAGTCAGAGAAGAGGTTGGGATTGTTAAAACACTACAGACTAAAGCATGGAAATGGTGGTCGCAGCCAGTCAGTCCCTTGTCTTCACACTGATTGCCCTTGCTCGTTTAAAACATTTAATGCCCTTAAGACCCATTTGTCTTGACACCATGTGAAGATGGTCACACAAAGTGGACCTCTTTCATTTACTTGTCTACTTTGCTGCTCTGTTTTTTTTTAATTCAGAGAAGCAGTATTTTGAGCATCTTAAAAACCACTTAAGGAAGTTTGAAGTAGTTGCATGTGTCTTCAAAAACTGCAACTTCAGTACAAATATTTATTCCACCTTTGCTACACATAGACACAGAAAACACCAGTCACACACCCTTGAGGATTTTAAAACTGAAGTATTAAAAAGCAAACCCAATGAACCCATGTTTGCTCAGGATGAGACCTGTGTGGAAGAGAGCTTAGAGCTTTGGGATGGGGAACCACAGGAGTTGTCTCAAGATATAAAAGAGAAATTTGGCCATCTATTTTTAAAGTTAGAAAGCATGTTCAATGTCCCATTTCATTGATGAAATAGTAGATGAGCTTCAGTTTATATCCACCTCTGCATCTGGTTCACTTTTAAGAGATGTGGTGGTGTCCACCTTGAAAAGCCATAATTGTGATCTGGATCCAGCCATTATCTCAGATTTAGTGAAAAATCTTTGTGAGACACACCCTATAAGTACTGCCTTGGAAGAAGAACACATACTTGATAATTAAAAAAAAGGGCAAAACCTTCCAGTATGTCCCAGTATTGCCCTCCTTGGTGCAGGTCCTAAGTAAGTCTTTTCAAGAAAACACATTTGAAGGTGAAAAAAAAAACTGAAAATGACTTTAAGTACCAGACATTTCGTGATGGATCTCACTATCAAAACAACAAGTTTTTCTCTGTAGAGGAGAACAGAGTGAGTCTCATCCTGTACGTTGATGACTTTGAGGTATGTAATCCTATTGGGACATCTCGAAAAAAGCACAAAGTCACAGCTGTCTATTGGGTGTTGGGAAACATTCCGGTGCAGTTACGTTCCACATTGACATCAATCTATCTTGCAATTCTGTGTAATTCTCATTCCTGCTAACTTTTCGACTCAAAAATCAGTAGGGGGCAACGCACATGAAAATTGGTGCTTATTACGTCTTTTGCCTCTGATTATAGGTTTAAAAGTACCCCAACAAGAGCCTGTATGGCAGATGCTGATGACACTGAAAGACATTGTGGACCTTGTCATGTTTCGAGCCCACACTGAAGAAAGCATTTGCTATCTTGACAGCATCATTTCAGAACACCGAAGCAGATTCCTTGATGTTTTCCCCCAACATAAGCTCATTCCCAAGCACCATTTCCTTGAGCACTATCCTCAGCTCATTCGGGAATTTGGCCCCCTAGCTGCCCTCTGGACAATGAGATTCGAGGCCAAACACAGTTTTTTCAAGAAGGTGGTCAGACACACTGGTTGTTTCAGGAATATTTTGCTGTCCCTTGCAAATAAGCACCAGCTCATGGTTGCATATCATCAATCACATTCTGTCAAACCATCACTTGTAGTCACAAAAACAACAGAGGTCTCTTTAGATGTGCTTAAGGATGATCTAAAAGACCTGGTGAAATGCAGATTCCCTGCTGTTACAGCTGTGTATGTTGCCAATAATGTGTGCAGTTTAGGCACCAACTATGCAGTGGGAATGTTGTTGTGTTGTGGTTCCACTGCAGGACTGCCTGACTTTTCTGAAGTGTTACAGATAATGGTGATTTGTAACAAACTGACTTTTTTCGTGAGACAACAAAATACATGGTACAATGAACACCTGAGGAGTTATGAGCTGGAGAACACAGGGAGTGTGCCGTTACTTGAGCAAAGAGACCTTAAAGATTTTTATCCTTTGGCTTCATACACCCTTGCAGGAAGACGCCTGACAACTTTAAAGCACCACATTTGCCGGTCCTTTTGAAATGTGAGGAGAGAAGCTTGTGAATAAATGTCTGTGTATTTCTCTTCTCTGTTGTTGCAGCTTCTTCCTGTTGATATGGCACCCTCAGCGAAACTGCGAATAATTTTTGGGGAGGATGATGTCCACAAACTACTTTTACCTGCAGGCATCCCAAGCACACTTCAGGACCTCAATGATGTTCTTCAAGAGACATTTGATATTACAGGACCATTCACTATTATGTACCAGGACATGGATTTCGACGGTCAGTTCTTCACTTTGACCTCGATTGAGGAAGTACAAGATAAAGCTAACCTCAAAGTAGTAAAAACTGAATCAGTAATCTTGAGTCTCACTACTGTGGACATGTCAGAAGTCGAATCTCCAGTTCCACTATCTACCGGAGCAAGCTCCTCCTAATCTGTATGCGACACAATCCTGTTGTCCTCCCCAGATGAGAGTGGACCATCCTACAGGTTTAAGCCATGGCCATTTAAGTTTGAAATACTTCTCTTATGATATAGACCTTGCACTGGAAGCAGGAAAGCAAGCTTATGAAAATGATGGCACACAGCGAACGTTGTTGTCCAGATTGGACGGGTACACCACCAAACTCCTGGAGATATTTCGAAGGAAGGGCGGGACTGCAGGGACCAAAATAAAACCAATGTTGGACTCACTGAATAAGGTAAAATTTTAAATTATTTTTATTACATAATCTAATGGAAAAGATGAGGTCATACACACTGAATGTATCACTCTTATTTAAAGGACAAGTTTGTTATTTTAAACTTAAAGCTTTGTTTTCAGATTGTTTATGATGAAATCGAACGATTTTGATTGAAATTTGGACACATGCTGCTGGCCCGAGCTTTTTTGGTTTCTGTGGTAGCACACCCCCACCTCCACAATGGCTTCATACAAAGACGTGAAACTCACTGAGTGGTCAGGGGTGTTCACTGATATGTTCACACACAAATCGCTGCAAAAATGCTTTCCAACAGGTGTTTTACCATTTGTTGTAAAACTGTGGACCTTTTTTTTCAAACGCCTCACACCTGTACATTCTTCCGCCGAGAGCTTGAATAATAGAATAGAATAGCGGCGGACTAATACCGTACATCACAGCACATCTAATACAAGTCAATGGAGTTAGACAAAAACTACAATAAAAACCAGTTGGAAAGTATCTTTTGCAGCGATTTTTTGTGTGAACATATCAGTGAACACTCCTGACCACTCGGTGAGATTCACGTCTTTGTAAATGACAGTTTTATGCGTTTTAAGAAGGATTGTTCCAGTGCACCTATGAAGCCATTGTGGAGGTGGGGGTGTGCTACCACAGAAACCAAAAAAGCTCGGGCCAGCAGCATGTGTCCAAATTTCAATCAAAATCATTCGATTTCATCATAAACTGAAAACAGGGCTTTAAGTGTAAAATACTGAACTTGTCCTTTAATCTGATCAGTGTCTGTGTTGGCTGAAACTGTTCTCCTGATCCTGACACTGTGGCCACAATTAACAATTTATGCACATGATTGTCTCTACAAGTGTATACAAACCTGTCTATGGGCAGAAATCTGTGCCATCAGAAACTGAAATTGAATAAGTTAAATTTGAATTTGAATTGCTCAGATTGAATCTGAATTGTAACTTGAATAAATGCTTTTGAAAACGGAATTTGAATTAGTCTAATTTGAAATTGAATTTATGGTTTGAAAATGATCATCACTAAATTGAAATTGAATTTTATATTTTGAAAATGAATTCGTTTGCTTTGAAACTGCATTTTATCCTTTAAAAATTCAGCTCTCGAATAATTTCAGTTTCACTTCTCACCATTCAGTTTCAGTTCTACAATTCAATTTCAGTTCCAAAATTCAGTTTTTTGGAACTTACATCCGGTTCCGGTTCTTGCGTAATCGCGCGCAGAGTAATCGAACTTCGTTTTACTAGCGGACCGCAAGTGGCAATCTACGACATCTTGAGCTGGAGCTGGAGCTGGAGTAATTCTCCTGAAGACATTCGTGATGTCAAATGACCAGTTGAGAAACGCTCAGGTTGGTAATAAATGTATTACATGTATAAGAACAAGCGTCATGTTAACAAATAATACCCGTACAGTAACGTTTATGTGTGTTGTAGCTGTTAGCTAAAAACGCTAATTTAGCGTAGATTGCCCTGGGTTCAGCGTTGACAAACAAATATGAAAGACAGCTTTCAATAGAATCCCAAAGTTGTCATCTTGTAGCCCTCCGGAGTCCTCCACACTTGCAGAGGCCCCTACAGTAGGATGAAGGAAAATTTACAGGCTAGTTTCAGGTGTGAGGAAGTTGCAGGTTTCCTGAAAAGCACTATTAATTAATTAAAGTGCTTGAAATCCATGAAACTGTGCTTATTATTGTTAAATTCTTGTGGATTTAAAATGTGAAGGCAACGTTGATGGTTTGTAATGGCCTTAAGTGACACTTATTATTAACAGTTATCTTAATACTAAATGACGTTGTATTGCATTTCCTTTTTCAGAATATATTCGTGCAGGAGTGCTTGTCCAGATTTAGGCAAAGGCTGGAGTATGTCCTCAACAACGACCCTCTTGACCTTGATTTTCTGGAGTACATTGTGACCCAAGAGAGGACTTTCATGAATGCACTGGAGAATGCTGACCTTCCTGCTGATGTCTGCGAAGCTATAGAAGAAGTGAGCAGCTTGTTACACCAGCGAAACAACCCTCCCCCCTTCAACTCTGTGGTACAGATTATTGGTCCTTATGGGCGTTTTAGGCTTCAGGTCACAGAGAATCACCTCCAAAGTCTTCTTCAGCTTGGTCTACCTGCCACATGTGTAGCAGACCTTCTTGGTGTCTCAAGACGTACCATGTACAGGAGAATGCAGGAGTACAAC